TAAGCCCTTCTTTCCGTACATGAAGTTCAATTATTCCAGCCTTGCCCCTCAATACATAGGCAGTTATTATTTTCTCAAAAAGAGGCAACCCAAAGTCCTTTCCAGCAGCAATGTCACAATGTCATGAGACCACTATTTTTCCAGTTCAGTATCTCCAAATAATTTACTTTTCCCATTACTTGGTCTTAATCTGGTCCAATTTTGAGATCTCATGATACTGCAACCTTAGACCAAACAAGAACTGTAATTCCTATCAACCACCTGTTAGGTATCACAATGGAGAGCAAATAAAACTACAGTAACAACTTCCATTTAGAACATGGAAAAAGGGGAAGAAACCATAGGACATGTACCACCTGTTGCTGGACAGAATTAATAAAGCAAAGCAGAGAACCATAGCATCTCATGGGCATGATTTGGTTGACTTCGCAATAGTGAGAGATCTATTGTTAATAAATCTAGCTACTCTGATATTGCCTTCTGAGATCATTTTTATTGTCAAGGGAGCATATAAAAGGACATTAGAGGAGACTACCCTGTTTGGGGAAGGATGATGGGTATATCTCACTTGCAATTCACTTTTTGTTAAAGGTACTGGAGTCCACAAATGCCCTGAGGACTTAAGGGTCTCCTAGGAACTGGAACATTGGTTTTAATGAATCACAGGTCTATTATACAGATTATGTTTTTCTGGTGCTGTAATTCTAATAAAAACTTTGTCACCTGTCCATTAATTTTATTTTAGGGGAAATTCCTAAAATCAAACACCAAAAATGTCAGGTTAGCAGGGCTGCTAAATTGAAGAGCCAAGGCTGGCCTACACCCATAGAGTTTCCGTTTGCTTTCAGCAACTCTGGGGCAATATATATCCCAGTATGCTGTTTGACAAACTTTATATCAGGACAGCGTCAAGGAGACTAGCTGGGCTGGCAGAGTGGTCTTCTCTATTCCCTAAAATATTGCCTGGTGATCTGAATTCATGGCATCCTGAATCTTCGCTCCCAGGTTGCAGACCTCAAACTTGGCCCAAATAAACTCTACTTATATTTAAATAGACATATAAATACAAATATAATATATATGATGTGTGTGTATGTGTGTGTGTGTGTGTGTGTGTGTGTGTGTGTGTAAATATATATAGCAGTCCAATGTACTTTGTACTGGTAGTGACATCCTATTTGATTTGCCAGGGGGGAAGCCAGGGCAATGTATTGAATACCAGTCCAATGTACTTTGCAATGGTAGTGACATCCTATTTGATTTGCCAGGAGGGAAGCCAGTGTGAGGTTCTCTAACGTAGCTCAGGGAGCTAAGATTCCCCAAACTCTCCATTCCATTCTTTCCTTCCCATTCCAGTTGCCAGGATCTCAAACTTTCCCAGTAAGCATTTTAAACTTACATACAGAAATGGAAGTGAATCGAAGAACTTGAACTTGACTTCTGTACCTCACTCCATCAAAGGATTGCTTTCTTCATCTGGACCTCCACATTCTCAATTCCCAACTTCTTTTTTTTACTCACATCCAGAAAAATCTTCATGGAAGAATATAAATTTCTGGTTGTACCTTATTGAAAGTACTCAGAAAAAATTGCACAATCTAATTTATCAATCTGGGTCTAATCAGGAGAGAGAAACCACTACATCATTTGAATAAAGTTTAATATAAAAATTATAAATTATAATAGATTTTATAGGCTAAATTGTATCCTTTTCTCTCCCCAAATTCCTATGTTGAAATTCTAACCTCAGTACCTTAGAATGTGACTCTTTTTGGAGATAGCGCCTTTTAAAAAGTAGGTAAGTTAAAATGGGGGTGATACTGTAACTGTTAACTCACAAATATCTAAGAGATGGTACAACTACTGCAAATGGTGAGGGAAACAAGCAAACGATCGATGCTCTGTGCTTGAAGCTTCATCCAAAGTCTGGAGAGAGACCAGTGGGTGAAAAAAATAGCAACAGAGAGAAGAGTTGTTGTCTCTATATTTAAATACTTTATTTTTGAAACGCCAGGAGCTTTGCCAGTAAGATGACATTTCTTCCTTCCTAAATTTTACTGACAATTATAATTTCCCAAACTGGATGTCATAGAACTATATACACCATAGTATTTGCTTAAAATTTTTTTGTTTGTTGTTTTTTTCCTTAAATTGTGTTTTAAAAAGACAAAACATGAAATATATCATTCTGATCTTTTTTAAGTGTGTAAGACAGTAGTGTTATCTATAGTCACCTTGTTAGGCAACAAATCTCTAAAACTTTTTATCTTGCAGAACTGAAGCTCTATACCCATTGAATAACAACTCCCTTTTCTACTTTCAACTATCATTCTACTTTTTCTAAGAGTTTTATCACTTTATTGAGGTTTATTTTTTTCTTTTCTTTTGAGATGGAGTCTCCATCTGTCACCCAGGCTGGAGTGCAGTGGTGCAATCTTGGTTCACTGCAACCTCTACGTCCCGGGTTTAAGTGATTCTCCTGCCTCAGCCTCCTGAGTAGCTGGGATTACAGGCGCATGCCACCATGCCTGGCTAATTTTTGTATTTTCAGTAGAGGCGGGGTTTCACCATGTTGGTCAAGCTGGTCTCAAACTGCTGATCTCAGGTGATCCACCTGCCTTGGCCTCCCAAAGTGCTGGGATTACAGGCGTGAGCCACTGCACCTGGCCCTGTTAAGTTTTTTAAATTAGAAAGTTACTGTATCTCTCTTTAAAGTAGTTTTAAAACCAGAATGCCTCAAAGCCAAAATTTCTGAAGGACACATCCTCGAAACACTGTCTAAGGACAGTATGATTTTGTTATAAGACTTTGACCTTCTTGCATACATTATTAAGAATGTTTCAAAGGGACAAAGTAAAATACCCTTAGAGGTATATGAAAACATAGTGGATAGGCCAGGCATGGTGGCTCATGCTTATAATCCTAGCACTTTAGGTGGCTGAGGTGTGAGGTAGATGGTTCACCTGAGGACAGGAGTTTGAGACCAGCCTGGCCAACTTGATGAAACCCCGTCTCTACTAAAAATATAAAAATAAGCCAGCTGTGGTGGTGCATGTCTGTAGTCCCAGCTACTCGGGAAACTGAGGCAGGAGAATTGCTTGAAACTGGAGATGGAGGTTGCAGTGAGCTGAGATTGTACCAGTGCATTTTAGCCTGGGAGACAAAGTGAGACTCCACCTCAAAAAAGAAAAACAGAAAGAAAAAAAAAAGAAGGCCGGGCGCTGTGGCTCACACCTGTAATCCTAGCACTTTGGGAGGCCGAGATGGGTGGATCACCTGAGGTCAGGAGTTCAAGACCAGCCTGTCCATCATGGTGAAACCGCATCTTTATTTAAAAAAAATAAATAAATAAAAAATATAAAAAAATAAAAAAGAGAGACAGAGAAAGAGTGCACCTGGCTTGAAGACTTTATTAATTAAGAACATCCTGGGGGCTGGGTGCAGTGACTGACGCCTGTAATCTTGGAAGGCTGAGGCAGGTGGATCACCTGAGGTTAGGAATTCAAGACCAGTCTGGTCAACAAGGTGAAACCCCCATCTCTACTGAAAATACAAAAATTAGCTGGGTGTGGTGGTGTGTGCCTGTAGTCCCAGCTATCCGGGAGGCAGAGGCAGAGGCAGGAGAATTGTTGGAACTCGAGAGACAGAAGTTGCCGTGAGCGAGATTGCGCAACTCAAAACTTAGCTGAGCATAGTGGCAGGTGCCTGTAATCTGAGCTACTCAGGAGGCTGAGGCAGGAGAATCGTTGGAATTCAGGAGTGGGAGGTTGCAGTGAGTTGAGATCCTGCCATTGCGCTCCAGCATTGGCAACAAGAGTGAAACTTCCTCTCAAAAAAAAAAAAAAAAAAAAAAAAAGATCTTGTCTAAGCATATCAACGTACAATTTTTTCACTAATTTTTTTTCATCAGATATTTAATGAGTGCCTACAGAGATGCATGACACTGTGCTAAGTTCTGGAAACAATAATACACAAATTTAGACATAGGGCTGCTTTCTTCATTATAATTTTGCTCCCCATGTAGGCTTTATAACTAAGAAAATATGCTGAAAAGCTAACATAAATATTCTCATCTATTTGTTCGCCATTCATTCATTCATTCAATGAACATGTTATGTTTGTGTCTTCCAAAATTCATATGTTGAAGCCTGACCCACCATTTGATAGTATTTGGAGATGGAGCATTTGGATAGTAATTAGGATTAGATGAGCTCGGGAGAATGAAACCATTAAGAGGAAATTAGTTCCCTTATAAGAGACTCCACAGAGCTTCTCTCTTTCCCTTCCTTCCCACCATGTAAGGACGCAGTGAGAAGTTGGCTGTCCAAAATTCTGTTATTTAAGCCACCCAGTCTATGGTATTTTTTTATTGTAGTCTGAATAGATTGACACATGAATTGAATTTCCAGTAAAGCCCTGTGATTACAAAGATAAATCCCAGCCTTTGCCCTCAAGAAACTCCCTCTCAAGGATCTCAGATAAACAAACAAGGAAAAATAATGTGGGCGGGGCACAGTGGCTCACGCTTGTAATCCCAGCACTTTGGGAGGCTGAGGTGAGTGGTTCATGAGGTCAGGAGTTCGAGACCAGCCTGACCAACATGGTGAAACCCCGTGTCAACTAAAAATACAAAAATTAGCTGGGTATGGTGGCCCATGCCTGTAATCCCAGCTACTCAGCAGGTTGAGGCAGGAGAATTGCTTGAACCTGGGAGGCAGAGGTTGTGGTGAGCCAAGATGGCATCATTGCACTCCAGCCTGGGCAACAAGACCAAAACTCCATCACAAAAAAAAAAAGGGCAGTTCTGCGGTCCCGCGGATCTGTCTCTTGCTTCAACAGTGTTTGTACGGATCAGATCCCGGGACTCTTTCTTCCAGCCTCTGATCGCCCTCCAATTTCCTCTCCACTTGCAACCTCCGGGACCATCTTCTCGGCCATCTCCTGCTTCTGGGGACCTGCTAACACCGTTTTTGTGGTTAGCTCCTTTTTGCCGACCAACCATGAGCTCCCAGATTTGTCAGAATTCCACTGACGTGGAGGCAGCCGTCAGCCGCTTGGTCAATGCGTACCTGCAGGCCTCCTACACCCACCTCTCTCTGGGCTGCTATTTCCACCGCGATGATGTGGCTCTGGAAGGCGTGAGCCACTTCTTCCGCGAATTGGCTGAAGAGAGGCACGAGGGCTACCAGCATCTCCTGAAGATGCAAAACCAGCGTGGTGGCCGCATTCTCTTTCAGGACATTAAGAAGCTGGCTCAAAATGAGTGGGGTGAAACCCTGGACGCCATGGCAGCAGCCATGGCCCTGGAGAAAAATCTGAACCAGGCCCTTTGGGATCTTCATGCCCTGGGTTCTGCCCGCGCAGACCCTCATCTCTGTGACTTCCTGGAGAGTCACTTCCTAGATGAAAATCATCAAGAAGATGGGTGACCAACCAACCTCCGCAGGCTGGCCAGCCCACAGGCTGGGCTGGGCGAGTATGTCTTTGAAAGGCTCACTCTTAAGCACGATTAAGAGCCTACTGAGCCCAGCGACTTCTGAAGAGCCCTTGCAAAATAACAGGGCTTCTGCGTAAGCCTCTCCCTCCAGCCACTAGGCAGCTTTCTAACTACCCTAACAAGCCGTGGACCAAATAGAAATAAAGCTATTTGAATATATATATATATATATATATATATATATATATATAATATATATATATATTATATATATATGATAACTGTAGCAATAGATGTATGGTCTAGGGATACTGGTGATATAAAGGATGGCGTGACTGACTCTACTTGGATGGGTCAAAGAAGTCTTTTCAGAAAAATGATTAAATTTATTTTAGGCCGAGGAAAAATTGTGCAAAATCATAGCGGCATAAAGCAGCATGATGTGTTGGGGATGGAAGGACTAGAGCAACAAACTACTTTTAGTAGTTCCTAAAACCTTAGAAATAGTGAAAAGGATTGCTCTCTGAAAATTAAATTAAAACTGACTAAAGCAAAGTTTAAATATAGTAATTTAAAGATACAAATTTCTTCCCAAGCTGACTTGACAGTAAACTGAATAATGTATTTTTTCTCTTTTTTTTTTCTTAGAGATGTGGTCTCACTCTGTTGCCCAGGCTGAACTGTAATGACATGATCATAGCTCACTGCAGCCTTGAACTCCTGGGCTTATACAATCCTCATGCGTCAGCCTCCCAAGAAAGAGGCTGGTACTACAGGCACATGCCACCATGCCCAGCTATGAATGATGTATTCACCGATCTTTTGTTTTTATTTTTAAGCTAGCTCTTACAGGAAGGATATTCACCTAATGACAGTGACAATGAAAAGTGCCACTATTTAACCGTTATTAGACTTTCTTTTTTTGGCGGGGGGGGGGGGGGTGCTCAGCAACATGGAGTTATTAGACTTTCTTACGTTGTACTTTTTTTTGTCATTATGAATGGTGTTGCAATAAATTTCATCCTACATATAGATTCCATTTTAGATTAGAGTGCTAGAAAATATTTCCAGATGTAGAATTACTGGACCAAGAGGTAAGATGTCACTAACAACTTGCTTTGAAATATGTAAGTTGCTGGGCGCTGTGGAGTGTGCCTGTAGTCCCAGCTACTCGGGAGGCTGAGGTGGGAGGATCGCTTGAGCCCAGGAGTTCTGGGCTGTGGTGTGCTATGCTGATCGGTGTCCGCACTAAGTTCTTCATCAGTGTGGTGACTTCCCGGGAGTTGGGGACCACCAGGTTGCTTGCCTAAGGAGGGGTAAACCGGCCCAGATCGGAAATGGAGCAGGTCAAAACTCCCATGCTGATCAGCAGTGGGATGGCGCCTGTGAATAGCCACTGCACTCCAGCCTGGGCAACATTGTGAGACCCCTGACCTCTAATTTAAAAAAAAAAAAAAAAAAGAAATACGTAAATTACACCACTATCACCAGCAGAATATGCCAATTTTGCCACATCATCCTTTCATGGGGGATTATTAATTGAGAAATTTTGCTAATAGACTGAATCAAAAAATATTTATTGAAGGCTGGGCCCAGTGGCTCATGCCTGTGATTTCAGCACTTTGGGAGGCTGAAGTGGGATGGTAACTTCAGCCCAGGAGTTTGCAACCAGTTTAGGCAATAGGGTGAGACCCTGTCTCTAAAAAATTTTTTAAAAATTATCTAGATGTGGTGGTGTGTGCCAATAGTCCCAGCTACTTGGGAGGCTGAGGTGGGAGGATTGCTTGGGCCTGAAATGTCAAGGCTGCCATGCTACACTACTGCACTCCAGCCTGGCTGAGAGGGTGAAACCATGTCTCAAAAAAAAAAAAAAAAAAATTATTGGCTGGGCAGGGTGTCTCATACCTGTAATCCCAGCACTTGCAAAGGCCGAGGTGAGCAGATCACGAAGTCAGGAGTTCAAGACCAGCCTGGCCAACATGGTGAAACCCTGTCTCTACTAAAAATACAAATATTAGCTGGGCATGGTGGCAGGTGCCTGTAATCCCAGCTACTCAGGAGGCTGAGGCAGGAGAATTGCTTGAACCAGGAAAGTAGAGGTTGCGGTAAGCCAAGATCGTGCTGTTGCACTCCAGCCTAGGCAATGAGCAAAACTCTGTCTCAAAATAAAAGAATTATTAGAGGTTACACAATGCAAGACATTATGCTAAGAGAGAAAAAATGGTACCTGAATATAGTGTTCAAGTCAATATATTTGATTACTAGTAATATTAGGCTATTTTTCTTCTTTCAAAAATAGGGTTTTGTGGCCAGGTGAGGTGGCTTATGCCTATAATCCCAGTACTTTGGGAGGCCAAGATGGGCAGATCACTTGAGGTCAGGAGTTCCAGACCAGCCTGGCCTACATGGTGAAACACTGTCTCTGCTAAAATACAAAAATTAGCTGGTTGAGGTGGTATGTACCTGTAATCCTAGCTACTTTGGAGGCTGAGGCAGGAGAATCGCTTGAACCCAGGAGGCAGAGTTTGCATTGAGCTGAGATCGCACCACTGCACTCCAGCCTGGGCGACAGAGCGAGACTCCTCAAAAAAAAAAAAACAAAAAGTGGGGTGGGGTTACTATGTTACCCAGGCTGGAGTGCAGTGGCTATTCACACGCACCATCATAGTGCACTATAGCCTCAAACTCCTGAACTCCTGAGCTTAAGCAATTCTCCTGCTTCATGATGGATGTTTCATATGTGTGTTATCATCATACACTGATGATGTATATGTGTATATATCATCAGTAGCTCTCATGATAGATTAGACAGTTAGCTGAAATATTTACTAAGTACCTGCCATGTGCCATTGTTTTAGATGTTGGAGAATTTAGTTTTGAATACTTGCAATTAAAAATTTATATTCTAGAGAGAGGAAATAACCAATAAAAATGAAAATAAATTCATAACATAACCTCCCATTCTAGTACAGGTGTGAAGAAATTACAATAGAACAATAGACAAATTTGGTGGAGTAGTGACTTTGGCTGGAATTACAAGGGAATTCCTTTATGAGAAGATGGCATTTGAGATGAGAGTTCAATGATTTAGAACAGGCGTCCCCAAACTTTTTACACAGGGGACCAGTTCACTGTCCCTCAGACCGTTGGAGGGCCGCCACATACTGTGCTCCTCTCACTGACCACCAATGAAAGAGGTGCCCGTTCCTGAAGTGCGGCGGGGGGCCGGATAAATGGCCTCAGGGGGCTGCATGTGGCCCGCCTAGTTTGGGGACGCCTGATTTAGAAGGTAGTCACGTCAAACTTCCAGGGAAGACCTTTTCAATCAGAAGGAATAGAAAGTGCCAAGATGCAGGATCCACTGTAAATTTAATGTGTTTAGTAAACCTAACAAATTTTGGGTGAGGTCTTCCTAAAAATTAAAATAAATAAATAAATAAATAAATAAACCTAACAGAGTGGCCCAAGTGTAAGGATCAAGGGAAAGAATGGAGTGAGATGAAGTTTGGAGAGGTAGGCAGGGACCAGGTTGTGAAGGACTTTGAAGGGCATGGAAAGTCCTTTAGCATTTATTCTCGTAACAAGGGAGGCCAGGCGTGTTTGCTCACACCCATGATTCCAACATTTTGAGAAGCCGAAGCAAGAGAATGACTGGAGTCCAAGAGTTAGAGACCAGCCTGGGCAATATAGGGAGACCTCCATTCCTACAAAAATTTAAAAAATTAGCCCAGCCTGGTAGCGCATGCCTGTGATCCCAGCTACTAGGAAGGATGAGGTAGGAGGATGGCTTGAGCCCAAAAGGTCAAGGTTGCAGTGAGCTGTAATCATACCACTGCACTCAGCCCGGAAGACAGAGCAAGACCCTATTTCAAAAAAAATAGCCTCTTTTGACCATCTTTCCATTTCACCACAATGGTGTGCATGAATGTCCTGGCTGATGCTCTCAAGAGCATCAACAATGCCAAAAAGAGAGGCAAACACTAGGTTCTCATTGGGCTGTTCTCCAGTCATTGTCCCATTTCTAACTGTGATAATGAAGCATGGTTACATTGGACAGTTTGAAATTATTGATAATCACAGAGCCGGCAAAATTGTGAACCCCACAGACAAGCTAAACAAGTGTGGGGTGATTAGCCCCAGATTTGATATGCAACTCTAAGATCTAGAAAAATGGCAGCATAATCTGCTTCCATCTCACCAGTTTGGTTTCATTGTATTTACAACCTCAGCTGGCATCATGGACCATGAAGAGGCACCTGTACCTCTTCTTGTTAAAAATCCAAAAATTAATATGCTCATGACATATGGGTACGCAGGACAGCTACAGCCATTCAAAACTTAGTATGGATTTAGCAGGGGGAAGGATCTATCTACAGCTTACCTTTTAAATTTCAGTGAAGCTTCTTGCTAGCAGAATGAATAATAATTCCATAGTGCTCAGTATTACATTGACCAAATCACAGTTTCTAAGCCTTGGCACTTTTGCCATTTTGGGTAGGATAATTCTTTGTTGTGAGGAGCTGTCTTGCATACTGTAGAATGTTGAACAGCATTCCTGACTTCTATCTAGATCCCAAGCCACTAGCACACCCTAGCCCTGTTAGGACAACCCAAAATGTGTCTAGACATTGCCAGCATCTGCTGGAAGACAAAATTACCCCCAGCTGAGAACTACTGGCCTAAATGAATGTATACTTCATTCATGTGATAGATATTGCTCAATGATGAAAAATTTTAAAGCATTATCAGGTTTGTGTAAAAAAAAAAAAACCAAGATTAATGTTTAAGAATAGACACAGTAGGGATTTTAATAAAAACAATGGTCCTGCCATTTTTTATTTCTCATAGCAATACATACTTACAGAAGGAAAAGAATTGTACATTTAAAATTCTGATCATTACACTAATTTTTTTGTAGTTGAATAATGAATGAATCTTTTAGTGACTTAAAAATACCTTCAATGTTTGAAAATACAAATTATGATATAATAAACATTCAGTAACTGGAGTAAGTTCACTTCCAAATGAGAGACACTTGGCACCCAGTAACAGTAATGAAATGCAACATCATTGAAGACAGTATCTCTAAGGAGCTCTTCCTGGAATCATATCTTTAGTGTAGACTCACAATCAATTCAATCTTTCAACCTCCATTTTAAGAATTTAGCTTTAGGCTGGGTGTGGTGGCTCACACCTGTAATCCAAGCACTTTGGAGGCCAAGGCAGGCGGATCACCTGAGGTTGGGAGTTCAAGACCAGCCTGACTAACATGGTGAAACCCTGCCTTAAAAAAAAAAAAGAATTTAGCTTTAGAAGAATGACATGTGAATCAGTTTTTCTCTAATAAGGCCTCGAAAAAGTGGTATCCTGAGGCACTATAAAGAGAGTGAAATTTTTTTGTTGATAATCAACAGCTTCAAATACTGGTTTTCAGCAACGAATTATAAATATCTTTTTATAAAAAGCCAAAGGCACAGTGAAACAATGAGTATTTGTACTTCACCATTTTAGAACTCAAAATAATTCACAACACAAAATAATCCAGGCGACCAGCACCTAATCTGTCCTGTAGGCGGCAAAATTATCATAAGAGGAATCCAGGCATAGGAGTCAGAATTGCTGCATTGAAGTTAGTGACAGATGCCTTAAAGCTTTATGCAAAACACAATTTTTATTTTTTTTTCAACTTTTATAGATTAAAGGTGCCTTTTGTATTGCTCTAAAGTAACAAAGTTTGTCTGCATGGTCAACACCAATGCTTATGTTTTCATTTCTCAGGGGCTAGACTTCCAGTCTGAAGACAATTTTTCTTTTTATAATTATTTCTGAAAAATTCCTCTCCTTTTTCTCTTGTTTCCTAACAGCTTTTGCTTTATTTTTATTTATATTTAATTATTTATGTCTTTGGAAACAGAGTATTGCTCTGTTGCCCAGGCTGGAGTGCAGTGGCGTGATCATAGCTCACTGTGGAGTTGACCTCTTAGGCACAAGTGATCCTCCCATCTCAGTCTCCCCAGTAGCTGAGACTAAAGGTATGCATTATGTCCAGCTTTTAATTTTTTTTTAAGAGAAGTCTTACTATATTGCCCAGAGTCTTAAACTCCTAGACTCATGTGACTGTCCCACCTCAGCCCCCCACAGTGCTAGGATTATAGGTGTGATCCACTGTAACCAGTCAGGTTTTGCTTTATCATATAATCCATCTAAATTGAAGAAAGAGAGATTGTGCAATTAAAAATCAGTTGTTGCTTTTTAGCAGCTGTGAAAAGCAAACTTAAAACTGATATCTAAAAGGGAGGATATGAGGTCCATTACATTTCATTCAGCTTTACATATTCCCAAATATTTGTACTGGATGGGAAAACTGTAACAAGACCTTTAAAAAGTTACGATAACTTACAGAAAATTTTGGGCACCATGATTATGACTATGCTTATATGTACGGAACAAAGAAGTTTATAAATGATTACAATTAAAAAGCTAACTGTAGTCAAACAACATTTTATCCTCAGGAGTTGATATCACTCATTTCATGGCTACTTTGCTTCCTTTCAAGATGGAGATAGTAATTTATGTCCTGGATTCATAATTAAAGGGTCAGATATGAGAAACAGTCAGAGCCATCAAATAAAAACTGGGGGCACGCCAGGCCAGGTGGCTCACACCTGTAATCCCAGTTCTTTGGGAGGCCGAGGCAGGCAGATCACAATATCAAGAGATCGAGGCCATCCTGGCCAACATGGTGAAACTCTGCCTCTACTAAAAATACAAAAATTAGCTGGGCGTGGTGGTACATGCCTATAGTCCCAGCTACTTGGGAGGCTGAGGCAGAAGAATCACCTGAACCCAGGAGATGGACGTTGCAGTGAGCCGAGAATGTGCCATTGAACTCCAACCTGAGCAAAAAGAGAAAGACTCTGTCTCAAAAAAAAAAAAAAAAAAAAAAAAAAAGGGAGAGAATGGAAAAAGCAAATTAAAAACTTTTTAATTGTTTCAATTACCATATTGGTGTGGTTCTATTTGTATTGTTATTCTGAGACAGTTGCAAGTGTAGGGTAAATAAAAGAAATGAGTAATTGTGGGATGTTTTTATTCTATCATGCCCCGTGTTCTTCAAAACCAGGACTCCCAATAAAGAAGAATAGAGATATAGTTGTAACAAAACCATTAGATAAAAATTCTGTAGGTTGGGCACGGTGGCTCACACCTGTAATCCCAGCACTTTGGGAGGCTGAGGTGGGTGGATCATGAGGTCAAGAGTTTGAGACCAGCCTGGCTATCATGGTGAAACCCTGTCTCTACTAAAAATATAAAAAACAACTGGGTGCGGTGGCACACACCTGTAATCCCAGCACTTTGAGAGGCTGAGGCTGGTGGATCACCTGAGGTCAGGAGTTCGAGACCAGCCTGACCAATATGGTGAAACCCCCTCTCTACTAAAAATTCAAAAATTAGCCAGGCGTGGTGTATGCACCTGTAGTCCCAGCTACTTGGGAGGCTGAGACAGGAGAATTGCTTGAACTGGGGAGGCGGAGGTTGCAGTGAGTTGAGATCCTACCACTGCACTATAGCCTGGGCAACAAAGTGAGACTCTGCCTCAAAAAAAAAAAAAAAAAAAAAAGAGAGAGAGAGAAAGAAAAAGAAACAACACACCATGACTTATAGTCTTGCCAAAAGGACTGAACCTGAGTCTTCTCATATTCAATGTGCCTGAATCTGAGCCATTTGTCAATATCCAGAGGACAAGGGAATGTGCTCAGCTGTGCCTTCAATGTGAAATCAGCAAAATACAGATTATGGGAAACTCTATAGGTCCTAAGGTCAGGCAGTTTCTTCCCCAGGTAAATTTTAAAGAGCCAGAAAGAAGGAGGAACTTACAGATTTAAAAAGAGATGTAAAATAAAATATACATCTAATAACAAATTTAAATTCATAATACTAAAATATAGAGGTGCATTTAGGTGTTACAGCAGTAATCAAGTGCAACAAATGATTACTATTGAAGTCAGTCTAGTGGTTACTTTTGTGGGGTTGTAATTGTGACTGGATACAAAAAGTACATGTGGAGTGAGTGGCTTAGTCCTAAAAGAGTATTTCCTTATAATAATGCATTCAGCTATAAATTTTGTGTCTGGTTTTCAGTACTTTTATTTTATAAATTTTTAAAATGTTACAATCAAAAAAGAAATCAAAGCCCTTAGGGTTTCCTATATACTATAAAGTATGGATGCAAATACTTCTGTAAATATCATCTGATGGTTCTTAAGAAATTGCCTGTATTATAGAAATATTTCTAAATAGCTACAAATATTTGAAAAATACTAAATTCTTATGTATGCATAGTTATAAAAAGTCAAAGAATTAAGTACACTTTTTTAACACAAAATTAATTTTGTTACAGTATTATGTAATACAATTTAGTTAAATGGACTTTCTTTCTTTCTTTCTTCTTCTTTTTTTTTTTTTTTTTTTTTTTGAGACAGAGTCTAGCTCTGTCACCCAGGCTGGAGTTCAGTGGTGCAATCTTGGCTCACTGCAACCTCTGCCTTCTGGGTTTAAGAGATTCTCCTGCCTCAGCCTCCCAAGTAGGTGAAATTACAGGTGCCCCACACCACACCCAGCTAATTTTTTTATTTTTAATAGAGACGGAGTTTCACTGTGTTGGCCAGGCTGGTCACAAACTCCTGACCTCATGATCCACCCATGTCGGCCTCCAAAGTGCTGGGATTACAAGCATGAGCCATGGTGCCCAGCCTAAATGGACTTTCTTGACTTCCAAAGTTTTCCTTTCTAACTCCCATACAAGATTATTAATGTTATTCTATTAGAGATTAGAACAAGAGCCTTAGAGCAGAGTTCATATTTCTTTGAATGTCTGCACTTTGTTTCACTCTTCTTTTTTTTACATAGAACAAAGATTAGTTACCGTGCCTAACCATGATGGGAATTATTAATATGTAGCGTTAGACACCGAATGTTATATAATCTGCAAACCAAGATCCTCCACCCACTTCCCTACCCTGTGTCTTTTCCATATAATAATGACTGATGTAGACAATTTTTGGTTGTTAAATGTGTAAAAATCTCAAGAACATAAAACAGATTTAAACCATCAAAATTAAAGCAGTTTTAAAATGCACTATAACAATAAACATGGACAAACGTCTAACTGTCTTGTTCATTTTTGTCCATCAAGCATTGATAACTTCCAACTTGTTCAAGCAGCATCTTAAATGGTGCGATTCAGTGGTCCCTTTTCCCTTCCTTTTGATAAAATTATGTGGTGTTTGAGTGATTGACATATTCAAGAAGTGACCGATCTAAGACTCTTCGGATAAGAGCTTCCTCAATTATATTAAAATCCTACAATAAAGAAAAATAATTAGAAATATTCAGATTCAATAGTATTTCAGAAACTGAAGGATGAAGGTCAAGGCAACATCCTCATTTTGCAGGGAACTGAAGTTAGGAGACTTGCCTGAGGTTCCACAGAGCCTGTCATAGAACCCAGGACTTTTGCTTTGGAAGGCTAATGAATTTTCGACTTCACTTTGCTGTCTATCTATTAACTAGTTACTGTTATACCAGAAAGTCTTGATTGGAAATTTGAAGTTTTTATCTGATGTAAATAGAAGTTTTTAGTCAACATTACAAATCCTGGTCAGAGTGTTGTGTTCCACACAAACCTGTAAAATGGAGCAAAGTTCAGGCATCCCCACAGGCTACACCAATGCCAGCAGTACTACTGAATAGCTATTTTAGAAGAAAATGTTAAAAACAAAACTTTCTCCTTGCCTCTCTATGTGTCAAAGTGGAATTCAGAACTGATGTCAGCACATTCTATAAGTAAAAAAAAAAAAAAGCCATTAAGAATACTATCCTCTGCAATCCCTCTCCTCTTCCGTAATAAGAAAAAGAGATCTCTATTCAAAGTCCATTCTGCAACATAAAAACAAACAAACAAAAAAAACACCCCACAAAAATCCAAAAAGCCATACAGCACAGTAGAGCACAAGGTTTGGTCTTGATATTGGCTTGTTCTTAGGTGATTTAGTATCTGAACTTCAGATACTTCAGTTAAATTAAGATAAAAATACAGTGTTCACTTTTCACAGAAGTTGCTGCAAGGAATGAAATGTGATATGTACATAGAGTGCTTAGCTTAGTAGCCCAGTAAGCAAAAAAATAAAAACAAAGAACACTACTTCAGGCTCACTTTCATACCCAAGAATATAGCTGTGAGTGGCTGGAAAGTATTCTTATCAAAGTGGCTTTGTCCTGACTAGCTCTGGATCATGTTTTGTCTGAAAGATCTTGAGAATAGACTGAACATGATTAGCCAGAAGAGGCATAAAATCCAACTGGCTTTTAGAACATCTCATAGAGCTAAGATAAAAGGAAGCCTCTTTGTATTACCAGAGAGAACACAAAGACCAGAACCAAGTTCTGTTGAGGCCTCTGTGCTGTACAGGCCACAAAAGACATGCTTAGAGATATGGAGAGGAGAATTTAAAGCTTCTCTCATGTTCCTTGTTCAGTTCCTCAAGTGGTCCTAACAATTCCACTCCCATCCCATCTCCAACTTGCCTAACATCTGCTCCTGAACTATACAAATCTCTTTATATACATTAGCTCATTTAATCCTCAAAAGAGTTTTGGGAGTAGGTGCTTTTAATCTCCTCCCTTAACCAGTGGACAAATTGAGTTTCCTCTGAATACCTTCTACAAGGTCACACAGGTGACAGAGTTATTGCTTAAAACTAGTTTAGAGTCCAGATATGGTGGCTCAAGCCTGTAATCCCAGCACTTTGAGAGGCTGGGGAGGGCAGATCACGAAGTCAGGAGTTCAAGACCAGCCTGGCCAACATGGTGAAACCCTGTCTCTACCAAAAATACAAAAAAATTAGCTGGGCGTAGTGGTGCAAACCTATAAGGGTAGCACCCTGCTACTCAGGAGGTTGAGGCAGGAGAATTGTTGAACCCAGGAGGCAGAAGTTGCAGTGAGCAGAGATCAGGCCACTGCACTTCAGCCTTGATGACAGAGAAAGACTCTGTCAAGGGGAAAAAGAAAAAAAAAAAAAAACTAGTTTAGAAACAGAGGTCCCGGCATCCTATCTGGATAATAATAATAGGCAGATAGAAAACATGGAGAAAATTCTTAAATGATGATTTCCAATCATTACTAAATTTTATCTTGAAATTGCATTTCACTTTTTATGTAATTTCATCTCAGCTAATAAGCTCTCGATTTAATAATAATTATTACTATGTATAGGAAGAGTCTAGAGTAAAAACTAATTTAAAAACTAAGTCTGGCCGGGCACGGTGGCTCAGGTCTATAATCCCAGCACTTTGAGAGGCTGAGGTCAGGAGTTCGAGACCAGCCTGGCCAAATGGTGAAACCCCTTCCCTACTAAAAATACAGAAAAATGCACCATGTGGTGGTACATGTCTGTAATTCCAGCTATTTGGGAGGCTGAGGTAGGAGAATTGCTTAAACCTGGGAGGCGGAAGTTACAGTGAGCCAAGATTGTGCCATTGCACTCTAGCCTGGGCGACAGAGTGAGACTCTGTCTCAAAAAAACAAAAAACAAAAAAATAAGTCTGACGCTTTGTTACACAACTATTGCGATTTTCTAAATTTAGAAAATTGCAATGAAAGTAACCTCATCTAGGATCCAGGGAAAAGATTCCTTTTTTTTTTTTTTTTTCTGAGATGAAATCTCACTCTGTCACCCAGGCTGAATTGCAGTGGTGCGATCTTGGCTCACTACAACCTCCGCATCCCTGGTTCAAGGGATTCTGCTGCTTCAGTCTTCCAAGTAGTTGGGACTACAGGTGTGTGCCACCATGCCCAACTAATTTTTTGTATTTTTAGTAGAGATGGGGTTTCACCATGTCAGCCAGGGTAGTCTCCATCTCTTGATCTGATGATCTGCCCGCCTCGGGCAGATCCCAAAGTGCTGGGATTACACGCGTGAGCCACTGCGCCCAGCCTAATTTTTTTATTTTTAGTAGAGACAGGATTTCACCATGTTGGCCAGTCTGGTCTCAAACTCTTGACCTTAAGTCCCAAAGTGTTAGGATTACAGGCGTGAGCCACTGTGCTGGGCCAAAACATTCTATTTTCATGATTTCCTACTTAAGGCTAAAACTCAACACGCTAACTACATACACATTATTTCTTCTATAATTTTATTCACTTGGATTAGAAAGGTAAGCTCAACACAGACACCATAAAAACATAATGTAAAAATAAGAAAATATACTTACTATGAAATCATCATAAAACAAAGTGTGACTAACTTGCAGATGTCTTATTAAACTGCCACTGAAGCTGGCTGGATTCTCATCAGGTATTAAACGGCAAAGTGGACAGAACTGGAAACAAAAAAGACCAGGGGTTCAAGAAAGAATTTAAAATAATTATTAGTGTCAAAATTTAAAGCAACAGGTAACCATTCAGTAACTCTCAACTTTATTAATCCATTAGCCACACCTCAGTATTATGTAACATCAAAGTAACATTAAGCAAATAAAATTACATTATTTCTTCATATGCATATATAACAATATAACTGTTTGTTTCATAGTCATCAATTTATTATTTAAACAATATTACAGTTATTAGATATATCATAATTTACTTAGTTTGCCTACCTCTTGGAACACTTGTATGTGGGTATTTTGTTATCACAATTGAGAATAACTATTGTGTTTACCTTTTGGGATTAGTTACTTAGGAGAAATGGCCAGAAATGGCAATTACCAGGTCAACAGTTATGAACATTGGCCAGGAGTGGTGGCTTGCGCCTGTAATCTCAGCACTTTGGGAGGCCAATGCAGGTGGATTACTTGAGGCCAGGAGTTCAAGACTAGCATAACCAACATGGTGAAACCCCGTTTCTACTAAAAATCCAAAAATTAGTCGGATGTGGTGGCACATACCTGTTATCCCAAATACTTGGGAGGCTGAGACAGGAGGATTGATTTAAAAAAAGATTTTACCAGGTGTTGCCTGTACTTGTATTTGTGTGTGTGTGTGTGTGTGTGTGTGTGTGTGTGTGTGTGTGTGTATGTGTGAGATACAGTTTGGAAATTTGTACCTGCCCAAATCTCAGGTTGAAATGGTGGCTCAGGTCTGTCATCCCAGCACTTTGGGAGGCAGATCACTTGAGACCAGGAGTTTGTGACCAGCCTGGCCAACATGGTGAAGCCCCGTCTTCACTAAAAAAAAAAAAAAAAAAAAAAAATTAGCCGAGTATGGTGGCAGGCAACTGTAATCCCAGCTACTCGGGCGGCTGAGGCATCAGCTCTGTCTCAGAAAAAAAAAAAAAAAAAAAAAAAGGAAAAAGATTTCACCAGGTTTTGCCTGTACTCATATTTTCTCTCTCTCTCTCTCTCTCTCTCTCTCTCTCTCTCTCTCTCTGTCTCTGTTTGTGTGTGTGTGTGCGTGCGTGTGTGTGTGTGTGTGTGTGTGATACATAGTTTGGAAATTTGTCCCCACCCAAATCTCATGTTGAAAGTAATCTCAGGGCTCAGTGGCTCAGGCCTGTCATCCCAGCACTTTGGGAGGAGGATCACTTGAGGTCAGGAGCTTGTGACTAGCCTGGCCAACATGACGAAACCTATCTCCACTAAAAAGACAAAAAAAAATTAGCTGGGCATGGTGGTGCATGCCTGTAGTCTCAGCTACTCCAGAGGTTGAGGCAGGAGAATGGCTTGAACCTGGGAGGCGGAGGTTGCAGTGAGCCAAGATCATGCCACTGCACTCTGGCCTGGATGACAGATCGAGACTCTTGTCTAAAAAAAAAAAAAAAAAGGACCTAGATGAATTAAAAAAAAAAAAAAAAAGATACAGAACCATTCTGTCACTACAAAAGAAGCCAGTGTGTTGCTATCCTTTATTTCCTTCTCTCTCCCTAACCTCTGATCCATTCCTCGTATTATTATTTGACTATTTCAAGAAGCTTATATAAATAGAATTATATAATATTTAACCTTTTGAGATTGGCTTTTTCCATTGAGCATGACTTTGAGATCCATCTAAGTTGCTGGGTGTATCAATAGCTCCCTCCTTATCACTGAGTAATATTTCATGGTGTGGATGTCCCACCATCTGCTTATCCATCTCGTTTTTATTTTTTATTTTTATTTATCTTATTTATTTATTTATTTTTGAGATGGAGTTTCGCTCGTTACCCAGGCTGGAGTGCGATGGCGCGATCTTGGCTCACCGCAACCTCCACCTCCTGGGTTCAGGCAATTCTCCTGCCTCAGCCTCCTGTGTAGCTGGGATTACATGCACGCACCACCATGCCCAGCTAATTTTTGTATTTTTAGTAGAGACGGGGTTTCACCATGTTGACCAGGATGGTCTCGATCTCTTGACCTCGTGATCCACCCGCCTCGGCCTCCCAGAGTGCTGGGATTACAGGCGTGAGCCACCGCACCCGGCTATCCGTCTAGTTTTTAAAGGGCATTTGGGTTGTTTCCAGTTTTTGGTTGTTACAGATAAAGCTGCAAGAAATATTTGTGTGTAAATGTTTGTGTAAACATAAATTTTCATTTCTCTAGGATAAATTTTCAGGAATGTGATTGCTTGGTTATATGATAAGTATATGTTTAACTTTGTAAAAAACTGCTAAACTGTTTTCCAGAGTGGCAGTACTATTTTACATTCTCACCAGCAATGTATGAATTATTTCGTTTTTCCTTATTTTCCCCAACATTTGGTATTGTCCAGATTTTTTTATGTTAGCCATTTTGATAAACGTATAGTGGTATTTCACCATGGTTTTAATTTGCACTTCCATGATGGTTAATATAAATAACTCTTTGTAACTCTTTTTTTTTTTTTTTGAGATGGAGTCTCACTCTGTCTCCCAGGCTGGAGTGCAATGGCGCAATCTCGGCTCACTGCAACCTCCAGCCCCCTGGTTCAAGCGATTCTCCTACCTCAGCCTCCTGAGTAGCTGGGACTTCAGGTGTGTCCCACTGTACCCAGCTAATTTTTTTTTTATTTTTAGTAGAGACGGGGTTTCACCATGTTGGCCAGGATGGTCTCAATATTCTGACCTCATGATCCACCCACCTCGGCCTCCCGAAATGCTGGGATTACAGGCATGAGCCACAGCGCCTGGCAGCAGATGCTTTCAATAGTATACCAAGTGCCATATTCAAGACGTGAACAGACAACTGTTCAAGACTTGTAAAGAGAATTACTAATTTTGCCCAGGGGTTTGGAAAGGCTTCAGCAGAGTTGCCAGTAACTGAAGTGGGTCTTGAAGAATGAGCCAGCCAGGCCAGCAGGGAGGACCATCACAGCAGAGGAATCAATGAAGGAAAAGGCAGTAAATCCCAAAAGAAAAAGGCCTGCTGAGGGCAATAGAAAAAGCTCACTGTAACTGGAGGTAGGGCAAGTTGAGGAAGTGGTGGGGGATGAGCTTGGAATATAAGTTGGGACCTGCTCCGTATTTATTCAAGCACCTGCCATGGTTTCAGTAGACTTGATGCAAAGAGTCAGAGGTACAGAGATGCCAATTACCTCGATCTCTACTATTAAGGAGCTGATTCAAGTCTAGTGAAGAAGATAAATACAGAAAACCTGGAATTTTAAGCAAAGAAGTTTTGTGTTTTGTTTCATTTTGTTTTTGAGACAGGATCTCACTTTGTTGTCCAGGCTGGTCTTGGACCCCCAGACTCCAGCGATTCTCCCGCCTCAGCCTCCTGAGTAGTTAGGATTACAGGTGCAAGCCATTGTGCCCAGCTTGAGTTTTTGTTGTTAGTCTGACATTAATAGGGAACGAATGGAGTCTTCAGTCTCTGGTGCACATAAAATTTAATTGTGTGACTAAAGACACATCTGTCAGAAGGACATTGCAAAACAATGGGCTGAAGTCTGTACTAGTGGAAATACTTCTTTTGTTACTTAAATTGGGAGATTCAACCTGAGGGAGGAGAGAGTAAGAATAGGAAGGAGAAAGAAATCGTAGGCGACAGACAGACTGATGGTTACCTAAGTACCTAAGTGTTGACCTACACTCAATTACTCAGTGTTGTCAATTTCTTTTCTTTTTCTTTTTTTTTTAATATACAGAGTGTTGCTCTGTTGCCCGGGCTGGAGTGCAGTGGTGCAGTCTCGGCTCACTACAACCTCCGCCTTCTGGGTTCAAGTGATTCTCCTGCCTCAGCTTCCTCAGTAGCTGGGAATACAGGCACCTGCCACCACCCCTGGCTAATTGTTTGTATTTTTAGTAGGAATGGGGTTTCACCATGTTGGCCAGGCTGGTCTCAAACTCCTGACCTCGTGATCTGCCTGCCTGGGCCTCCCAAAGTGCTGGGATTACAGGTGTGAGCCACTATGTCTGGCCTAATGTTGTCTATTTCTTCTTCTTTTTTTTTTTTTAACTTTTTTTATTATTTTTTAAAAAACAGGGTTTCACCATGTTGGTCAGGCTGGTCTTGAACTCCCAACCTCAAGTGATCCACCCATCTCGGCCTCCAAAGTGCTTGGATTACAGACGTGAGCCACCACGCCCGGCCTAATGTTGTCTATTTCTTAACATCAGCTCATCCTTTATTACTTGTCTCTACTCAATGCTCTTATATTAAGAGTCAACAACTGCACTGTGTACATTCAAAAGATGCTGACTTCATCTCTCTATAGACTTTTTCTAATGGTGAATGCAGTGGGCAGATAATAGCTATCATATTAGAAGCTACTACCAACTTCAGATAATTGAAAACTGTTTCTAAGATTAGCCTCCCACTTACCATACATGGTGATATTATCATGTCCTGATGCTCCCACCAAATCCCCCAATGACGACAGGTCTTTAGTGGATGAGCTTATAGCTCATTCACTGTGCAAGCCCGTGTGTCAGAGATGGGACATCTGCCTAGGCAAAGATTTCTGGAGTAACACCCCATAAGAAGAAGCAACCAAAGGAAAAATGGACAAATGGAGTCACATCAAAAAGTTTCAGCACAGCAAAGGAAATAATCAATAAAGTGAAGAGCAACCCACAGAGTGTGAGGAAATATTTGCAAACTCCTCATCTGACAAGGGATTAATAACCAGAACATATAAAGAGCTCAAACAACTCTACAGGAAAAGAAATTAATTATCCAATTTTAAAATGGGCAAAAGATTTAAATAGATCTTTCTCAAAAGAAGACATACAAATGGAAAATAGGCCTATGAAAAAGTGCTCAGCATCATTGATGATCAGAGAAATGCAAATCAAAACTACAATAAGATATCATTTTGCCACAGATAAAATGGTTTGTATGCAAAAGTCAGGCAATAAACAAACGCTGAGGAGGATGTGAAGAAAAGGAAACATTCATACGTGGGTGGTAGGAATAAAAATTAGTAC